AAGCAAACTTGAAGTGCAAGAGCGATTAAGTAACAATGAATTCATATATTTATAGGAGATTCGCGACAGACCGGCGTTGTTATGAAGAAAATGCAGTTCACGAATGTTTCTTGCAGAGTATTTCTAGCTGTTAATTTTTTCAACAGAGAAAAAGTATCCACTTTTACTTACCATTAAAACCAATAACAGAATCAAGTTCCAAGCGAGGAACGTTAATTGGTGAATCTCCCATTATTCACCTCTTAGTTGAGACACACGTTCTCTTCCAGCACAAACAGATCAACCCTTTGAAATTTGGAATGTTGTCATTGGATACAAACATGGCGACAAGAAAAGCGCCCTCTGTAGGTGTTAATAGGTTTAATCCGAAAACCGCGTACAAAAGGCATAAAATATATAGCTCCTGGGAAATAACTATTTTTGTATGCACCGGATCGATCCGGGGCGTATAGGCCTATTGTTTTTGTCCTATTTGTTTATCTGTTTGTCTGTCCGCCTGTTGTCAACTTTAACCTTAGCCAGTCCATGACTTTTGAACCATGAGAGAGAGAGCCGTCATATTTGGCATGCTTTGCATATTCCACTAATTAAGTTCTTTCAAATGACACCAAGGTCAATGACCTTGTGACCTTGACTGTGACCTAAAATTAAAATGCTAAAAATAGCTTTTTCGAATTTTCGCCATAACTTTGGAACCATATATATAGGAGATATAAACTTCATATTTGGTATGCATGCTCCACTAATTTAAGTTCTTTCAAATGACACCAAAGTCAATAACCTTGTGACCTTGACTGTGACCTATATGCTAAAAAAGCTTTTTCGAACTTTGTTAATTGCTGTTTCACAAACTAATCTTGTTTAATAATGCACCTGTTTGTACATCATGTTGTATTAAATTTGATTTATATCTTAAATCATTTAACCCGCTTATATCTACATATAAAACTTTTAAAAGCGCGTAGCATCGTTTTTGAAAGGGGACAGCCAAAGAAAAATGTCTTTTAATTACCTGAAAAAATTGACAAGCGAAAAAAGTGCCCAAATTTCGGGTGTGGGAATTTAGAAGCCAACTTTTTTCAATGCCAGCCTCTTTCAGTACCCCCCCCCCTTTTTTTTTGCACACAATACTACATTTTTCCTTATATCCCTTTACTGTGGTGAAAAGTGAGGGGACCAACCAGTCTTTCAATGAACATTTTCAGTAACTACTTAAAAGTATTGTTGGGTAAAAAGAATGGGGGCTACCCAACCCCCTTTATTGCTACGTGCCCGCATACGTTAATTTTATGTTTATGTGAATTACCGGTATGCCCATCGGGCCCAGATTTGATCATAATGATTCTTATGGCCTATTCTATTCGATATATTTTTTTCTGTGCCTTCATGCGCGGATCTAAAGGGAGTCGGGGGAGGGGGTCCGGGCCTCTGATGATATATACTAGTATTTAAAAATGTATGCAGTGGCGTAGCATCGTTTTTGAAAGTGGGGGGGCCAGGCAGAGAAAATTTTTTTTTTACTTACCTGAAAAAGTTGACAAGCAAAAAAAAAAAAAAAAAAAAAAAAAAAAAAAAAAATTTAAGTTTTTTTGGGGGGGGGGGGGGTGGGGGGGGGGGGGGGGTGGGGGGGGGTTAGTTAAACTTCTTCTCGGTGTCAACTACTTTTAGTACCAATTCTTATACTACATTTTCGAAATATATTTCAATTAACATTTCCTATAGTGTAAGTAAGGTTAAAAATGTATACTACGCCCCTGGTATAGATATATATATATATGTAGGCCTCCAAAGTGCGATGGGACTCTTAAGTCCGATGGTCTGCGCTAAAGTCCAATGGTGCTGAAAACAATTAACGTTTATAACGTCATAGTACTACTGCGCAAAAATGTCATGCCAAGGCCCGATTGTTTTAAATATATACAAATTAAAATTAAATGCAAAGACTAACCCTAATCTTTTGGTTATAGGTGCGAGACTAACACTTATCAGTCGAAAAATGTATAATAACTATTAGGGCTGTATCAATATATCGATATATCGATACGTATCGATATTTAAGAATAATATCGTATCGAAAAATAACTTCCAATACGTATTGGACAGACAGTTTTTCTTCTAATTCTGTTAAAAAGATGGGAATTTTAATCACCAAAGATTATGATTTACCTTTTTTAATTAATACTGTTCAATAATTATATAATTTGACAGGAAATAACACAGTTTTTATAATTATTACAAAGTACAAAGAGATTTTTATTTGAACATGTACTGTCATTAAACTTTTACTCTCATTAAAAGTTTTATTTTGAAGTGTTATTTGTAGTGACAATGACACAAGAACTTTAAAATGGGTAATAAAACACTCAATTGTTATGAAATTCATGCATTAAAATGATTTAGAAGCATTTTCTGATTGACTTGTTTTAGAATCCAATATATCGCATATCGCTTTAAAAAATATTGTATCGTATCGTATCGAAATTTTTGGCCCAATACACAGCCCTAATAACTATATGAGCTAGATATCTTGGATGGGTGCAGGACTAACCCGAATCAGTCCAATAGTGTGCGAGGACTAACCATAAAATCTCTCTGTAGAGTTCGAAGAAACACATTGGTGTTCAAGAACTAACCCTTGTCAGTCGAATGGTGTACAAGGACTAACCCTGAAAGCTCTGGTGGGCGAAAACAATAAGCAAAGTCAGTAAAATTGTATGCGAGACAAATAGCTTACTAAATCAATGGATTTTGAATGCAGGACAACGTCATGACGTCGGACTATTGTGACGTCATAAATGTTGATTGTTCCTTCGCACCATCGGACTTTGGCGTATCAGACCATCGTACTTTAGTTTGAGAAAGTGTCAAATGGAGATTTTCCGTAATAAAATAATCAGTCTAAAGAATTCCTTGAATTTAACAACCGAAAAACATGTACCAGAAAGTAAAATTCATTTTATTAAATTCTGATGACTAAACTATCCTATTCTCGCATCGTTTCCACAGGACTTCTTCCGAGGAAATATTTTATTTTATTAATGAATTCATGAAAGTTCCTGTCAGCATTCATGTTCTTATCTGTCAGTGAAGATCAATTAAGGTTCCTGAAAAAAAATACTATATGCCAGGCACGTAGCATCGTTTTTGAAAGTGGGGGGGCCAACCTGAGAAAATTTTTTTTTACTTACCTGAAAAAAGTTGACAAGCAAAAAAAAAAAAAAAAAAAAAAAAAAAAAAAAAAAAAAAAAAAAGAAAAAGAAAAAGAAACTTTAGAGTTGCCCAAACTCGAAAATCCTATAGGGCTGTGTATTGGGCCAAAAATTTCGATACGATACGATACAATATTTTTTAAAGCGATATGCGATATATTGGATTCTAAAACAAGTCAATCAGAAAATGCTTCTAAATCATTTTAATGCATGAATTTCATAACAATTGAGTGTTTTATTACCCATTTTAAAGTTCTTGTGTCATTGTCACTACAAATAACACTTCAAAATAAAACTTTTAATGAGAGTAAAAGTTTAATGACAGTACATGTTCAAATAAAAATCTCTTTGTACTTTGTAATAATTATAAAAACTGTGTTATTTCCTGTCAAATTATATAATTATTGAACAGTATTAATTAAAAAAGGTAAATCATAATCTTTGGTGATTAAAATTCCCATCTTTTTAACAGAATTAGAAGAAAAACTGTCTGTCCAATACGTATTGGAAGTTATTTTTCGATACGATATTATTCTTAAATATCGATACGTATCGATATATCGATATATTGATACAGCCCTAAAATCCTATTTCGTGGGGGGAGGGGGGGGGCAACTTTTTCAAACCCAACTTACTATCACTTCCAATTTTTTCCTTACAATCCTTGCTATCACTATACTATGGTTATAAGTGGGGGGGCCAACCATCCTATCAATGATCATTTACTATAGTAAAGGTAATGTTGGGGAAAAAAGTAGGCCCCCCCTGGCCCCCCCGGATACTACGTCCCTGTATGCATTGAAGCAATGCATATAGTATTTTTTTTATATCGCGTAAATTACGCGTTATAAAGCGAAAAATTTATTTTTTTAGCCTACGGAAATGAGCCCGGCTTTCGTAAACAGCAAATATATTATATCTCACAATAAAAGAAAAATTAAAGGTATCCAGGCATTTGGAGAAAATTGAATACATTATTAATAATGTTATTCTTACTTATTTCTATTTATAAATTGTTATTAATATAAATTCATATCTATTAGAAAAAATATCTTTTGAATGAATGCGCTTTTCATAGATTTCATGCAAATAATTGTTAAAATAAAGAATAATAAAAATGTTTCTAGGTATATATATTTACTTTAAGTAACGTGAAAAAATTATGTCATGTGTTTATTGAATGAGCTAACCCCCATCACTTTTGGGTGTATAGTGGTAAAATTAATATAAGGGTAATGCGCGTAGTAGTAGAAGAATATAATTTGGTATCGAAAGAATTTGGAACCTATATAAACCCACCCCAGACACAGATACAAAATAGGGTTTTCGAGTTTGGACATTATTTCAATCTTTTTGGGTAAATTGATTTTTTTTTTATCTCTCTGCCCCCCTTTCGAAAACGATGCTTCGTCTAAATTCCCACTTTGAAAATCGATGCTGCCCAGATATTTCAACTAAATGAAGAAATAATTAATTATAAATATTTTTTTTTATTTAAAAACATCTTTTTCAAGACATTTATCATTTATAAGTTTTCTTATAAAAAAAAAAGAAATTTCATCACAGAGATAATGAAAAAATTGAATAGTTCTGTAGTTTGCATAAGATTTCTTTTTACAGTTTTCCAATGTTTTCACGAAGGCTAGGGCCTCATGGCCTAATATTATTTCTTGAAAGTTCTAAAGAATGTTGTAGGGTCTTTTGCGAATGTGGTAAGCGAGGCATGCTGGGAATGTTTTGTATGTAAACAGCGCAGAACGTGGTATATTGTTTTCTTTCGTGTGCTGCCATTTTGATGTGCCCAACGCCGCCTCGTGATGTCTGCACTGCAACAGCCCTCGGACAACGATGCCTTGGCATTGTTGGCCCTCAAAAACCAATCAGCTCCTGTGAGTCCTGCGAGAAGAAAATGGAGCCCAGAACCAAAGGGTGTTGCAATTGCTAGATTAGAAAGCAGAGACTTTGAATATTTGATGCGAAAATCGCGTATCTCGGTCGGTCGGAACAGCAGTAAAGGAGACGTAGATGTAAACATGGGCCACTCGAGTTTTATTTCCAGGGTTCACTTAGAGATAATGTATGACGAACCAAACTTTTTTCTGAAGTGTGGAGGAAAAAATGGTATATTTACTGACGGCGTGTTTCAAAGGAAAGGGGCACCACCTTTACAGCTGCCAAGGACGTGAGTGTGTTGACTATGTAAAGAGTTACGGATTTTCCCTTAGGAGGCCCCTTATTAGTTTATTGCTAAATTTTCTCTGTTTTACCAGTTTTAGGTGTTTACTTTCAGTCGTCATGTTGTATGGGTTATTATGTGCTTCGCTCTTTATGTTTTGGGTTCTGTGCCATTGATTTAAATGCTTTCGATTGAATAGTTAGTAACCATGTGCTTGTCTGAAAATTCATGGCCTCCGCAATGTACAATGTAAACAAAATGGCTGCTCATCTTTGTTTATGTTTTGATATTCAGAATTTAGGGCACGAAAAATGCGGTGATTTGGAACAAGGAGAAAAGAAATGGATCACAGGATTGAACTTGTGATTCAAGTCTATAAAATTGATAGGCCTATTTTAATTTTTCCTTTGGCATTTTTTTTTTGTTTACATGTAGATATGTAAACACAAAATAAGTGGCAAGTCCCTTGTTGTGATCACATAATAGTTATTTTATAAAATTATTGAGAGCAATGAGTAATTGGCACTGTCATGTCTATTTATTATCTAATTTATGGAAGAAAACACTAAAGCAGGTAAATCTAGTTAAGATTTGAAGGGTTAAAGAGGGAGATGTTGTTACAGCATATGAATTTCTTTTTCTCCAATTAAAAAAGATGGCTTTATTACTTTTTTAAAAAGATTTTGAAATCTCTCAGTATTGGATGATTCATTTTGCATCTCTTATTTGTTTACAAAATGATTTTTTTTTTACCTTTGATAGATAAATTATAAGACACTTGGTCAATTCACACGGTATTGAATTGAAAGCTCTATGATTATACTATATTCATTGACTTAACAATAAATATACAAGTTCACTTTTTGTTTAGATGTTAATGTTTTAAGTGTATTGCTTTAATGTTTTCTCAGAGGCTGTCCTCTGCAACAATATTGTAAACAGAGTAACAAGAATTTCTCTTGGAATTAACTCCCAGACTTTACACAGAGACAATGTATGGTGCTTTAGACATACAAACCAAATAAATTAGGTTTTGAAAAAATTGAAAGTCAATGACTTCGTACTTTCAAAACCAAACTGAAGAGGTGTAACAGGCATTATCAGTCACTTTCATACTAATGATTGTTAGGAAAAAATAACTGATTGATTGACTTTGAGCCAATCAGTATCACTTTAGAAAGAAAGGTCAACATTATCAGTGGTAAGAGCTTGTATTAATTTGTCTAATATACACTGTATTAAACATGTTGAAAAATGATTCTTTACTGCACATAGATAGTGTTAAGTGGCCAGAGGAAGTTGATATTTGTACCAAAGGTTAAAGCCTGAGATAGTCACACTGCCTACTCATTAATATGATGACAGGCTTTAGAATGTCATCAATTGTCAATCATTATTCAGCAGCAAGGTTATAACTAGACTGACAAGTTTGTTTTAGGCAAAAGCTTTCTTGGTCTAGGCCTTGTTCAAAAGAATTTAACTAAAAGAAATTTATTCATTTTTACTCTCTTATTCCAAAGCTAAACATGCTAAAGATTGAATTTATAGCTTGAGAAATATAATGTGTATAAAATATGGTATCATTAATAATTTGCTGCCCCTCTTTGTAGATGTACCTTGAGGTTCCCCAGTACAGGCATTAAGATTGTGTTCCAGTCTCTGGTAGAAGATACGACACCGGCTACCACAATCCCCCCACCACTGTTGATTGAAACCCCACCCAAGAAAAAGATTTCTCCGCTCCTCAAAATAAATATCCCAGAGAGAGTGGAACGTACATTTGACAGTCCGTGTCCTTCACCCACTGGAACTATTAGGTAAAAAAATGTGTATTGACAATATAATAATATGATAAATTGGATGCAGTATTTATTGATCAAAGATTTAAAAGAATAATTCCTATATTTTCATTCAAAATTGACCCTTGAATAGAATATTCAACACACTTATCTGTAAGCTTGAATTTTCATTTTTATTAAAAAAAAAAGAATATGAAGATGAAATTGTTTATTAAAGTATCCATGGTGATAGTCAACATTAGAAATCATAATATTGATCAAATTCTGCTTTGCAGTGCTGCCAATTCTTGTCCAACTAGTCCTCGAGGGGGTACAAGCCACCGTCCTTCACTGTTACCAAATATCCAGATAGCTGCTATGAATGCTGCTGCCAATCCCAGGGAGGAGAGCCCAGTAGCCACCCCACAGAGTACAGACATGAGCATTGGGGACAGTCCAAAGGATGATTCTAAGCCGCCTTTCTCGTATGCTCAGTTAATTGTTCAGGCTATTACATCTGCTCACGACAAACAGTTAACGCTAAGTGGCATTTATGCGTACATCACAAAGAATTACCCATACTACAGAACAGCAGATAAAGGCTGGCAGGTAAACATAAAACTTCTTTAGTAAACCTTCAATTTGGCTTCAAAGTGTTTTCTAAAGGTGATTTCAGGACTTGTCTAATTGCGATTTTGAAATTTTTGTAGAATTCAATACGTCACAATCTCTCACTGAATCGCTACTTTGTGAAAGTTCCCCGCTCTCAGGATGAGCCAGGCAAGGGTTCGTTTTGGAGGATAGACCCAGCATCTGAGGCAAAGTTAACATCACAGGCATTCAGGAAGCGCAGACAGAGGGGAGTGCCCTGCTTCAGAACTCCTTTTGGAGGATTATCCACAAGGTAGGACAGTTAGAATCTTCACTGCTGATATGTTAAGCATGAAGAAAAACATTCATTTTCATGATATGTTTAGACTGGAAGTATTTTGCTGGTCTCAATGATGTGAACAATTGCCGGTTTTGGTTGTAGTATGTGAACCAAGACTTTTCACATAATGTATTGACTATTCATGTTATAAAATTACAGATCAGCACCAGCCTCCCCGAGTCACACAGGTGGTACATTTACACCTGACAGCTTGTCAAGAGAAAGTAGTCCAATTCCTGAGGGTTTTGAGGGTGATGTACACAGTCAGCCCACAGTGATGACCCACCCCCAGATTTTAACAACTCAGCAGGCGGCCGACTTATACAGAATCAGCCAGTCAGCCCCGGGGTCACCAGCAGGTACAGGCCTCAGAAGTCTTATGACATTCGCATTCTTTGTTGTACATTATCCAGCTTCTTTAAAATCCGGAAAATTCTTTACTATTATTGATTCAACTTTATTTGATCATTGCTGCTAATCAATTATCGCAGATTTTCAGAAGCAAGACTCAGTAAAATATTGAGTGATTTAAGGATTTGGCTTTCGTAATCACTAATGCTTATTTTTAAAAATTATTTTATTGAGGGAACAAGGTACTAGTGATCAAAAAATTTAATAAGATTGTATTGTCTCTGTACATTGAAAACTTTAGTTTGAAGGAGAATTAGTCTAAATATCAATAACTTACCAGCATTCAACTTATAGAGGGTTTTAACTTTAAAGGTAAGGAGAAGAATTCTACCAAGTTTTTGAGATGCATTATATAGAGGTCCTATTTATCTGTCTTACAGGATCTCGTGTGTTATCTCCCGTCACTGTGACGGCCACTTCCTCCTTGAATCCTACTGCCACCTCAGCGATCCATCAGCTGCCCACAGTCATCACCAAGCCAAAAGTCATCGTATCTAACCCCACACAGGTGGTGCTAAACGGACCATCCGCAGTTTCCTCCCTTACTAATGGGTCACACATGGAGATCAAAAAGGAAATCAATCCACAGTTACAAGGTAAAAATGGCAAATAAACATCCTGTATATGGGCTCCCCACACACTTAAATTTAATTAAACTTAGATTAATCAGTGATATGGCCAAATTTTACAGAAAAAATTCAAGCTGTAGTGTCAGCAGGAGGTCTGAAGCCAGTGACACTTGTTAGAAATCTCACCAGTGGACAAGGTATGAACATGGGCATCGTACAGCAACCTGGGCAGCCCCTCACTGTGATGTCATCAGGAGCCCAGGCCCAGGCAGCCACCCTCCTTAGTCAGCCTGTCACGTCACAAGCAGGGGGAATCACTCTGTTTCCCCAGTCAGCTGTGCAGCTTGTCAGCACAACTGGTTCACATGTCCCACAGCAACAGTTGCTGGTAAACTTTTTATTTACTCTTTATATGAGAGGTGTCAGTTCTTATGATTTTGGCAGAAGATGTACACCATAAGTGTCTTGAATACACCTAGTTAGTATTTATTCAACCTTATGGTTTCTATTTCTCTCCATCAAAAATCTTTAAAAAAAATAGTATTTTCATATTTGTCTACTTCATGCAATCCCAATAATTTAGATGTAAGCAAATGGAAAGATATCCAGAGGCTATAGGATTAAGCAGCTCCTGAATCTATTCTTGCAATTAAAAAAATTGTCTGTTTTGTATTAAGCGGTTCAGACTCTAACAAATGCAATTGTTTGTTGACCATTCATAATGGTATTTCTTGCTTAATGAATGTTAAAATGTGCAGCATGTGTGGCATGATTTTTTTTCATTTGAATCTATGATAGGGTAAGGAACTATATGATTTGTTGTTATGATATGATTTCTTCTTTTACAGGTGACTACAATATCTGGAGTTCCTGTGACCTTGACCTCCAAACGTCCGGCAGAGGAATATGTGGAAAATAACGGTCATGCTTCAGAGCACACGGAAACCAAACAGATAAAGCTAGAGGTCAAAGAGGAAGCAGCAGAATAAAGCGGAGAATTTTATCAGATCTAGTAACACCTGTTAGGTTTTGTTTACCTATAAATTTGTCATTTTAGAACGGATTTTAAAATTATGACATTGACATGTTTGAAATCCTAAAGAATGAAATAACAGAAAAGATAAACTGGCACAGTTGATGACTTTCTTTGTGTGGGTGTATATAATATTATTCAGTTTCAGCACTTGAAATTCAAGTGATTTACCCTAACACATAAACTTGCTGTGGAATGGAGATGGTTTGGGTTCCTCCTTGAGATCTCAAGGGAACCAGTTGTGTACAGAACCAGCCATAGTGCTCATTTTTGTGATTATTTCATGTAGCCAACATTGCAGTTAAGGCAGCTCCGTGGCAACCCATCACTTTCTACAGGAAAATTCTGACAGCAATCAACCTAAAATAATGAAGTTTAAGCACTGATCTGTCCTTCTCTTGATTCTGCATTGTGTGAATTGTGTGCAATATGTCCACAACAGAATTCAGAATTCAAAATATCCACTAAGTACTGTAGGAGGCTTTAACAGATTGTTGTGTAGATTATGGCGGTATTAGATGTTATAATGAAATAGAAGTGATTCTATCGTTACTTGTCCAAATTTCTTCTTTGTTATTGCTTTGTGCATTAAGTGTAAATTTTATTGTCTTTTTTGTTCTTGTTTTATTGTCATTGAATGTTAGGATGAAATTTTTAAAATCATAGTTCTGAAGATTTTTTTTTTATTTGAATTTCCCTTTTTTAGCTCACCTGAGCCAAAGGCTCAAGTGAGCTTTTCTGATCACAATTTGTCCGTTGTCTGTCGTTGTCGTTGTCGGCGTTGTCGTCGTCGTCGTCGTTGTCGGCGTTGTCGTTGTCGTAAACTTTTCACATTTTCATCTTCTTCTCAAGAACCACTGGGCCAATTTCAATTAAACTTGGCACAAAGTATCCTTGGGTGAAGGGGATTCAAGTTTGTTCAAATGAAGGGCCACGCCCTTTTCCAAGGGGAGATAATCATGATTTAGAGAAAAATTATTGGCATTTTTAAAAAATCTTCTCCTCAAGAACCACTGGGCCAGGAAAGATGAAACTCATGTGGAATCATCCTCAGGTAGTGTAGATTCAAGTTTGTTCAAGTCATGACCCCCGGGGGTAGGGCGGGGCCAAAATGGCCGATCAAAGTTTTACATAGGAATATATAGAACAAATCTTTAAAAATCTTCTTCTCAAGAACCACTGGGCCAGGAAAGATGAAACTCATGTGGAATCATCTTCAGGTAGTGTAGATTCAAGTTTGTTCAAGTCATGACCCCCGGGGGTAGGGCGGGGCCAAAATGGCCGATCAAAGTTTTACATAGGAATATATAGGAAAAATCTTTATAAATCTTCTTCTCAAGAACCACTGGGCCAGGAAAAATGAAACTTATGTGGTATCATCCTGAGGTAGTGTAGATTCAAGTTTGTTCAAGTCATGACCCCCGGGGGTAGGGCGGAGCCAAAATGGCCGATCGTAGTTTTACATAGGAATATATAGGAAAAATCATTAAAAATCTTCTTCTCAAGAACCACTGGGCCAGGAAAGATGAAACTCCTGTGGAATCATCCTCAGGTAGTGTAGATTCAAATTTGTTCAAGTCATGACCCCCGGGGGTAGGGCGGGGCCAAAATGGCCGATCAAAGTTTTACATAGAAAATATATAGGAAAAATCTTAAAAAATCTTCTTCTCAAGAACCATTGAAACAGGAAAGATGAAACTCATGTGGAATCATCCTCAGGTAGTGTAGATTCAAGTTTGTTCAAGTCATGACCCCCGGGGGTAGGGCGGGGCCAAAATGGCCGATCAAAGTTTTACATAGGAATATATAGGAAAAATCATTAAAAATCTTCTTCTCAAGAACCACTGGGCCAGGAAAGATGAAACTCATGTGGAATCATCCTCAGGTAGTGTAGATTCAAGTTTGTTCAAGTCATGACCCCCGGGGGTAGGGCGGGGCCAAAATGGCCGATCAAAGTTTTACATAGAAAATATATAGGAAAAATCTTAAAAAATCTTCTTCTCAAGAACCATTGAAACAGGAAAGATGAAACTCATGTGGAATCATCCTGAGGTAGTGTAGATTCAAGTTTGTTCAAGTCATGACCCCCGGGGGTAGGGCGGGGCAAAAATGGCCAATCAAAGTTTTACATAGGAATATATAGGAAAAATCATTAAAAATCTTCTTCTCAAGAACCACTGGGCCAGGAAAGATGAATTTCATGTGGAATCATCCTCAGGTAGTGTCTATTCAAGTTTGTTCAAGTCATGACCCCGGGGGTAGGGCGGGGCCAAAATGGCCGATCAAAGTTTTACATAGGAATATATAGGAAAAATCTTAAAAAATCTTTTTCTCAAGAACCATTGAAACAGGAAAGATGAAACTCATGTGAAATTATCCTCAGGTAGAGTAGATTCAAGTTTGTTCAAGTCATGACCCCCGGGGGTAGGGCGGGGCCAAAATGGCCGATCAAAGTTTTACATAGGAATATATAGGAAAAATCTTTAAAAATCTTCTTTTCAAGTACTTCAAAGCCAGGATTAGTAATATTTGTATGGAATCATCCTCAGGTAATGTAGATTCTAGTTCGTTCAAATTATGATCCCCTTGGGGGTTAAAATTCAAGCCCCCCCCCCCCCCAACTTAAATTAACTTTCAGTTCTGATCTGATGTGTTTTTTCCTAGCTGATGTGCTCAGGTGAGCGCTGTGGCCCCTGGGCCTCTTGTTTTTCTTAAACTCATTCTCTCCAGAAAGAACAAAAACTGCATGATCATCTGCAAATGAAGGTTTAGTTGATCTGTTTGCTGTGATGAAAAATATATTTATCTAAAAGTGAAGTAAGTTATGTGATACAAATATTTCATGAAAAAATGCTATATATTATAACTGATTTAAAGATCTTGTAATAATTTCAAACCACATGGTAATTTAATTACTTTGGAGATGACAAGGTTGTGGTGTCTTAAAAATCATGAAGGAACAAAGTATTTTTTTCTTCCAGTAAAGACAGCAAAGATTGCACATAAACATGTATATCTGACTGATCATAATCTCGATGTTTTGCAAGAGATATAATATGTATCAATACAGACATATTGGTTTAAATTTCTGTAATTTTAATGGTAGTCCAACATGTCCAAATGGCAGACCTTATGGGATCATTCATCTTTCTCTGTGTACATGATTTCATTTTGTATGTCATCAATCATGTTGTATAAACAGCAGATTTCTGCTGAGAATATCGTCAGTATGTAAATAAACATACTGTTTTAATCCAACAAGTGTTCGGGTTTTGTTTTTTGTTTTTTTTTTCATTTTACCTACAAGTGATATTGGTAATAGTTCTTAGTGATAAAATTGATCCTGAAGAGGTCTACATTTAGGATTTGTGTTATTTTTCAGACAAAAAATTTGGAATTAGTACTACTTTTATTTTCCCTTGCTATACAATTTGGATGTTTTGTTTTAATAAGAAAATAATGTAAAAACAAACTTAACATTCTAAACTGACCAGTCTGTAAATTTTAGTTTAATTTAAATGCTGGTTTTAAAAGTTGTCACCCAGAAGGGTGTCAGTGACAAAAATCTAGGGACATTTTATTTGGAAAAACATTGTTATAAGTTATTGATATGTTGTATTGCACACATAAATGCATAGTTATAATTGAGTGTCAGTAAAATGAGGCAAAGACTACCAGATTAGTATCTTGTTTGGTGTAAGGAAATGAATGCACTAGTCACCTGAGGTTTCTATAGCAAGAGAGAGAAAAATGCTCAGGAGCTTATTTTATCATATTGTTTCTGGATCCACCTAACTGTGTTGTGTTGTCTGTAAACTTATCTGTTGTCAGTTAACTTAAAACACTTTCCATTACCACTTGACCTTTTTCAACCCAAACTTAATGCTGTGGGTAACAGATGGAAAAAAAAAATTGGCTATGCTGTATCAAGTGACAACACTAAGACTAGAAACTGGTCGCTGAATGGGGTCATTTTAAAATCCAAAGGAAAAAAGGTTTGTCCAGAAAAAACCAACACATACCAGAGCTCCAGATAATTTTTTAGCCCAAAGTGTATTTACTCCTTGATTTTCAAATCAATACACACAAGGTCAAGGTCATGGGGTCAAAAATCTTAATGTATTTAGAAAGGTCTGTCACAGACACTACACAGGTCTAATATGAAAGCCCTATCTCTTCTCATTCAAAAATCATAACCAAGGTTAAAGTTTTTGAAAAATTGGTCAAATTTCAAGGTCACGGGGTCAAAAAATCATAGTGTATTTGGAAAGGTCTTGTCACAAATAATAAACATATATAATATGAAAACTCTATCTCTTCTCATTCAGACGTAATGGCCAATTCAATGTAATGTTTAATTTTTTAAATGAAGGTCAAACTCCAAGGTCATGGGGTCAAAATATTATGGTATATTTAGAAAGGTTTTGTCACAGGTAATATACATGTGTAATATGAAAGCCCTATCTCTTCTCATTCAAAAAATATGACCAAGGTTAAAGCTTTTATGGCGGACAGACTGACAGATGAATGGGATTAAATTTCCCCTCATTAGAGGGGGGGAGGACACAAAAATGAATGTCACGAAAAATCTTTAAGAGGCACATAATAGCTGCCTATACACAAGTGCATATAAATCATTTCATAAACAACAAGAAACAAACAAAAACACACAAGACGTGTTTGTGAAACACTGATGCCCCCATGTGGCAACATAGCAAAGGTTACGTTTTTAAAATGCAAATCAGATATGTTGATACCCAAAGTAATGCCTTCTCACAAGAAATACAACATTTTAATGTGAATTATAAGACCCTAGCAGTACCTGTTCAAAAATTATAGCCAAGGTTAACGTTTTTTAGTTAGGTCAAACTCTGGGGTCAAGGTCAAAAGGTCGAGGTTATTGGTAAAGAAAGCCTCGTCACAAGGATTACATATGGGAAGTATGAAAACCCTAGCCTAAACCGCTCAAAGGTTATGGACAAGGTTAAAGTTTTGAAAGGTAGGTCAAGGTCAAAGGGTAAAATTGTTGGTATTCAGTGAAAGATCTTGTCACAAGGATTACATGTGTGAAGTATGAAAACCCTGGCCCTTACCGTTCAAAAGTTAATTTTTGTTGAAAAGCAGATCAAGGTCAAAGGTTAAAGTTGTTGGTATCCAATGAAGGATCTTGTCACAAGTATTACATATGTAACGTATGAAAGCCCTATCCCTTACCGTTCAAAGGTTATGGTCAATGATAACGTTTTTTTAAAAGTAGGTCAAGGTCAAAAGGTCAAAGTTATTAGTATCCCATAAAAGGTCTTTTCCCAAAAAAATGCATATGTGAAGTATGGAAGTTCTAGAATCAACCGTTCAAAAGTTATGGTCAAAGTATACAAGTTTGGAATTTTGGTGTAAAAGTATGTCAAACTATAATGTCAAGGTCAAAAGGTCAAATCTGATGGTACCTAAAGAAATGTCTTGACATAAGGAATACACGCGAGTAAATGAAAGCCATAGTCCCATCGAGTCAAAAGTTATGGGCAAAGTTCAAGTATTTGCGGACAAACAGACAGCTAGACAGACGGACGGACAGGGCAAACACTATATAATTCCGATATTTCATTTACAGGGGCATAAAAACAAAAGAAAGAAACTAAAAAGAAACAAGATGTGTTTGTGAAACACTATGCACCCACCCAGAGCAACAAAGTTCGAAAAAGCTATCTTTAGCATATAGGTCTCAGTCAAGGTACCAGGTCATTGACCTTGACGTCATTTGAAAGAGCTTAATTAGTGGAGTAAGCATACCAAATGTGAAGTTTCTATTCTCTTATCCGGGCGCATAAAAAACTAAGAGAGAGGGAGAGAGAATCCCAATCATCCAGCAAATATTTTTAGGTCACCTGAATGATCTAGGTGACCTATTCTATCTGTTTTCGTCCGTCGTCGTGCGTAACAGCTGAGCATTTTCAAATTCGCTCTGGAAGCGCTAGTCCAGTTTCAACCAACTGTGGCATATAACGTCTATGGGTGAACTTCGGGGAAAAAATTGTAAAAATCTTGGTCCTTCTTCCTGGGGACTGTGGGTTGGGACTAAAACCACCAAAATTAATGCAATCTTAAACAAGATGTGTCTGTCAAACACTATGTGCCCGTCGGCAACAAAGTTCGAAAAAGCTATTTTTAGCATACAGGTCACAGTCAAGGTCAAAAGGTCATTGACCTTGGTGTCATTTGAAAGAACTTAATTAGTGGAGTATGCATGCCAAATATGAAGTCTCTATCTCTTTCACGGTTCAAAAGTTATTGCAAAAATTAAAGTTGACAACAGACAGACAGGGAGACAAACAGATAGACAGGACAAAAACAATATACGCCTCGATCTATCGATCCGGGTGCATAAAAATCTTTCCTGGACGTCAAGCAGTCAAACTGTTGGCACGATTGTAATAAGAATGAGACCCTCTACCAAAATTGTGAAATTCATGGCACAAGGGTCAACGGTACTGGTCTCAAGGCGGGCCTCTACTGATTATATGTGGCTGCAGAACTGTAGCTCTTCGAAAAAATAATTATTGAAAGACCTGAGAGCTACAGTGCCACCCACTGAAAAAAAAAACTGTATATTTATTGCGCACATAAAAGTGCGTAGGATTCTGGATTAATTCTTCCAAATTATTACTTCAATTGCAAAAAAAGCAAGATTTAAAAAAAAATCCTTACTCCTCTATCAAGTTCTCTTACAGTTTCCATCTATATGAGCGCGCTGGACCGAATTAGCTTAATTAAACCTAAATGGCAGTATAAATAGGCATTTTCAATTATCTCAATTTCAAGACCTAGAGGATATTTTAAACAATTATAAGGCATGTTTTGTCGTGGAAACAGTGAAAGATGTTAGGAACACACGGTTAATAATATTTTGAGATAACATGGACAAATAAATCGAGAAACAGCGCACTTTTTGTGCGCAATATAAATATACATTTTTTTTTAAATGAGTGGCACTGTAGCTCTCCGGTCTGTCAATATATTTTTTGTCGGAGAGCTACAGTTCTGCAGCTAGATTATATAAGTGAAAATGAATTATTTCTTTGATTGAAAATCGTCTCCTCTGCTCCTGGGTATCATGCAAACAAACTAAATGCATTGTTATGATAAGGAATGTTGCTCTTCAAGACTTTTGAATTTTGTGGCCTCTGTGTCAGGGGTTCTGGTGTTAGGGCGGGGCTCCGTTAATTATATAGTGAAAATGCATTAATTTGTTTAAAAATCTTCTCTCGCTTTTGATCTTAGTAAATAGTTATAATGAGCAAGCGTGCTACTTCCAGAATGGTGAATTTGAAGGCCCTTGGGTCATGGTTGCCGGGGGGGGGGGGCTTTTGATAATACACTGCAAATGAATTGATGAGCAATGGTGCCTCTTTCAAAATTGTGAATTTCATGGCCTCTGGTTAAAACACTAACCAAATTCAATTGTTGGAATGGTTGTTAGAATACATGATACTCAGGGGACCTATACCCTCATTGGGCCTCTTCCTTCAAATTACTTTTGGTCACATTATTTTGAAGGGGAAAAAAATTGCGATGTCATCTCTATACAATCAAAATTGAAATCAATTTTTAAATCCAAATAAACTAGAGGTACTGTGAGCAATGAGCACACTAAATGATACTCGATCCGCCTCCCATATTAATATAATGGCAGTGTCCATGTTTTGCGATGAGAATTCCAAAATATGCGTTGGATCAAAGGTACACAATGGCAATATGTAATGAAGATTATGTGAAAGTCTCATCAAAATTCATTCAGTGGTATTAGCTATAGAGGAGTTGCGAATAAGAGATGTGTACCCTAAAGCGAAACATCCTAATTACTATATACCCTCCCACTTTTCAAGCGGGGGTATAATAATGCAAGACTTATATATAGTGTTCTATAAGGGGACGGCTATTTGATTCTGAAGGGGGGGGGGGTCTGTGATTTTTTTTTTTCGAGTCGGATTATTTATTTTCATGTCAGCGAAGAACAGATTATTTATTTCCAATAAGACAGAGGGCAGATTCTTTATATCCTACTTCACTGAAAAAGTCTATTTAGCAAATTAAAAAAAAAGGAAAACATCAAAATCAAAGTCGACAACTCTAAATGGAGGGGGGTGGGGTTGTCTTGCAGGGACAGGTTATTCATTTCCTGTCCAGTCGAAGACAGATTATTTATTTTCAACATTATCGAGGACAGATTATTTATTTTCAAAACCTCTCCCCCTCCTTCTCGAATCAAATGATCGTCCCCTAACCATGATAACAATTTAATTAAGATAAATACTTGAGAACTTAAAAAAAATGTACAGTTGAATGGCTTGATCAAAATAGTATTTGATTTAACTGACAATAGTTTTAATTACAGCTTAATAGTGATGTACCGATTAATCGATTAAATCAATCTAATCGACACGGTCCCAGATTACAGACGATCGATGATAATTTTCATAGGCGCTCCCCGTGTAATTCTGTAGGGGTTGTTCTTATGGTGGTAGAGGGGTATATGTATCTTTCGTCACTTACAGAATTACATGGGGAGCGCCTATGATAACTTTGATAATCGGTTAATTTGATCAAAATATTGAAAAAAAGCAAATTATTCCGTTGATTTTTGACTCATTCTACTTTAAAAACTAAATCTTAAATAATAATCTGATAAATGAATCCAATGATACAAAATATATCAAAAATATATTTTAAATCACTCCAGAAATTTTAACTAATTATTTTTTCATTTAAAAAAGAATTTAATGTTTGAAATCAATCGATCACAGTGTATCCGATTTTTCCGACAATCGATTATGAAACAAATTCCGATTTCCCATCAAATTATTGGTATAATTGGGGCGAAATCACTTGGCGCGAACATGAAGTTGGGGCGAAAACACCCGTCACAAACATGACGATGGTGTCGAACGAGTGGCGATGTCGTATTGAATCTGCTCGAAAATTAAGAAAGCTAAATGCTGACAGACAGCGAAGTAATAAATGGGTATACATTGGAGAACATTTCCAAACTTGGAACCGGCTTCGAAAGGATCTAGGCTTTGATTTTCATTACAAGTTGGCTGGGTTTCTCCTGGAGTTGTAAGTTTGACGCCAGTCTAAGCACCCCTCAACTTAGCTCAAGTAAATTAACCCTGTCAAAATGTTCTATTTTGCTAATAAAAGCTCGCCAAAGATTTGTCTGTTCCCCGTCTGTCGCCGTTGTCGTCACTGTTGTCGTAAACTTCATTTTCATCTTCTTCTCTAGCTGCAATAATGTAGCCCTCTCCGATTTTGTTAATGTGATGTTTTCTCTCCCCCCCCCCCCCCAAAAAAAAAAGGAGCTAGAGGGCTATTTATTGTAGCTACTTCTTCTCAAGAACCACTATGCCAATTTCAACCAGACTTGGTACAGAGTATCCTTAGGTAAAGAGAATTCAAGTTTATTCAAATAAAGGGCCACACCCTCTTCCAAGGGAAGATAACTGAGAAATGGTGAAAATTGGTTGCATGTATTTAAAAATCTTCTCAAGAAGCAGACCTTTCACGGTAACTCAGTCAGTAGAGCACTTGCTCCGTGAGCAGGAGGTCGTGAGTTCGAATCTCGGCCACGACTGACCTAAGTTGTTAAAAAAAATGGCTAGCAACTGTTCCTTCGCCATGCATGCACCCAGCACTTAGAAGTGAAAGTTGCGGGTCATTCGGATGAGACCTTAAAAACAGAGGTCCTGTGTCACTGCATGTGTTGGCACAATGAAGATGTCTAGTACTGCTCCATGGCCGTATGTGCTGCGTAAAGGTCAAAATTTGAAGCCCTTCACAGGGATATGGTAACATCTCTACATGTCATTGAGTGAAAAATTCTCAAATGGAATGTAAAATAACATACAATCAATCAATCTCATGAACCAGTGTGCTAGACATTACCATTAAAAGAACAGAAAGGTATTCTGCAAAAATTATTGAAATTAAAAAAAAAAAATGTTGGAAATGGTATGATATCAAAAGTCGAAAAATAAAAACAATTAAATGTCGGAAATGCAATGCAAAACAAGGAAAATGATCCATATGCAGCACAATCTGTTTGAATTAATGACACGTTGGTAGTATGTGTGCATGCATGGAGAAAATCTTAGTTGCTCCCAGTCTGAGCAGGAAAATTGTAACAAATTAATATGTATATTAGTTGTGACAAAATGGACTTTTTCTTGAAACCCCAAATCCCAAGAACTGCAATTATATCATAAAGTTTATAAAACACTCTGTCATGAACATAGAGGCACATCTGTCATACAGTGTATTATTATATGAGCTTTTTTTCTAGCTTTTTTCATGCAAAAGAAGCCAGAACTCAACCTCCTGAGAGTAGTTCAGTGCAAACCCAAATCCCATGTCAGCAAGCCCAGCCTACAGAAACAGATACCAACCCAAAGTAAGGCATATAAACAACTTTTTAAGACATAAATGCCTTAATCTGATTGAATTAAAGTGTTAATTGGTTTACCTAAAATTTCATGACGACAGCTTAATTTTGAAAAACAAACACAAATTTTTGATTAAACTGGTGTCCAATCACAGGATTTTTTAGTCACCTCTATACAATGTTAAAAACTATTTTTGCCCCTGTAATCAAAGAACCAGGGGTATATTGTTTAGCCCTGTCCAATTGTCCATCTATCTGTTATTCTATTTGTCTGTTTGTCTGCAAAAACTTGAACCTTGCCCATAACTTTGGGAGGGCTATGGCTTTCCTATTCCACAGGTGTATTCATTGTGACAAGGCCTTTCTTAGGTACCTCAAAATTTGACCTTCTGAGTTCTGACCTTGACCGTGGAGTTTGAACCACTTTCCCCCAAAAATTTCAAACTTAAGTTTAACATTGGTCATAAGTTTTGAACAGTTGGTGCTAGGGTTTTCATACTTCACATGTGTATTCACTGTGACAAGACCTTCCAAAATTTTATGATGCATTTAAATAGCTCTTATCAATATGCATCAGATAATGAGGTTTGATAAAAATATCTTAAGTATTTAAGATGTTTTTATCAAATATTATACAGTTATGGAATGGGTACGAGGGAAATAGCAAATATATGGTTCCCCGATGGAGGAAACTATTTCCCGAGGCGGCCGCCGAGGGAAATAGTTTCCTGACGAGGGGAACCATAAATTTGCTATTTCCTGAGTTCCCATTCCATAACTGTTTTATTATACTGAAACAATCGTAGGCTATTTACTTTTTTTTACCAGATATTCCGACATTAAAAAAAAAACACTGTAGAGGCATAATTACAAATGCATGCGGTTTAACAAATTGTGTGATAAGTAATGCATCGTGTCCTAAAAAAATTAAATTATTTTTAAAAAGTATTTTCACTGACATTTCGAAGAATTATCGTTTTCTTCATTTTGCTAGAATTCAAATATGATTTTGACATCGCATGTCGAAATGTTTTGACGTCATAGTTACATTGCTAATAACATGACGTCACAGACTCGAGATTCCTTGAACGCTCCGCCCACTGAACACTTTGATTGGTTAAAATTATTAATAAATATTCATGAGGGAGTAGTTTCAGGGAGTAGCTCTGATTTTCCAGGGAGTAGTCTTCAGATGAGGGCAATAGTCTCTTCTCCGGGAAATAGACAGTTTAATGGTATTAATTTTATATAGAGTAATTACAGTAGAGGTATAATAATATATTTTAACAATGGAAACTATTCAATTGCATCATAAGACATGATATGTTTGTGAAACAATGATGCCCCATTATTGCAACATAGCGAAGATTAAACTTTTCTAAAATGCAAACTAGATATGTTGTTACCCAAAGGAAGGTCTTCTCACAAAAAATACAATTGTAAAATATGAAAGCCCTGGCACAACTGTTCAAAATTAATGGCCAATTATAAGTTTTTGAAAGGTAGGTCAAACTCTAGGGTCAAGGTCAAAGGATCAAAGTTGTTGGTTTATAAAGAAAGGTCTTTCCACAAGGATTACATATAAATCTGCAAGGTCAAGGTCAAAAGGTCAAAGATATTGGTATCCAATGAAAGGTCTTGTCACAAAGAAAACATATGTGAAGATGCAATTTATAGTATCTACTGTTCTAAAGATATGCCAAAGTAAAGTTTAGAAGTTTTGTGTTAAAGTGTGTCAAACTCCAAGGTCAAGGTCAAAAGGTAAAATTTGTTGGTACCCAAAGAAAGGTCTTATCACAAGGGATACAGTTGTGAAATATGAGAGTCATGCATAGCTCCACTCAATCAAAAGTTATAAGCAAGGTTCAAGTTTATGCAGACAAACAGACAGATGGACTGCTAGACAGACGGACGGACACAACAAAAACTATATAACCTAGAATCTTCAATTACGCATAATGTTATAATTTACTTACGCATAATTATGCATGAATATGCAACGATAATTTTTGTCATTAGCCACTTTTTATACTTAAATCTATACCAGTTTTGTTTGTGAATATAGATAAGTATAATTTGAGTTGTTGTAAGCTCTGTTTTTAATGTGGAGTATTCAATAGAAACCTATTGATATTACTGCTTTAAAGTATGTGGGACATACTAAATTAAAAATTTATAAAATATGGAAAAAAAATTGAATGAAAAGTATTTTTTGAGCTTAATTAAAGTCCTTCTTCTTCTTAGGAGCTTTGAAGTATAGTCTACAGTTGTAAACTACAATTTACAGTTGTAAACTATAATTTTGTTAGTTTTACAAAGATTATATTAAGCCATCAACTACTGTACATCAAATATGCTGAATTAAAACTGAAAATAAATAACTATAATGAAAATGTTTCTTTTGCAGGGCTGGCACCCCTTTTTCTTTTAAAGAAGTCAGCACAAGCCAGTATCCTAGTCAGAAAACTGTGATAAAAGTGTTTAATTGTGTCAAAACAGAGAGCCCTGTATACGTAGTCACTCCAAAGACTGTGCTTCCCTCCCAAAGGGATAATCCTCCAGCCATTGCACAAAACACCACATTACAGCAGAAAGCCACTTCACAGCATACTCCTGCCATAGCACAGAACAGCACTTTCCAGCAGAATGCCACTTTACAGAATACTCCTGCCACTGCACAGAACATCACATCCCAGCAGAAAGCCACTTCACAGAATACTCCTGCCACTGCACAGCACAGCACTTTCCAGCAGAAAGCCACTTTACAGCATACTCCTGCCATTGCACAGCACAGCACTTTCCAGCAGAAAGCCACTTCACAGAATACTCCTGCCATTGCACAGCACAGCACGTCCCAGCAGAAAGCCACTTTACAGCATACTGCTGCCATTGCACAGAACACCACATCTCAGCAGAAAGTTACTTCACAGAATACTCCTGCCATTGCACAGCACAGCACGTCCCAGCAAAAAGTAACTTCACAGAATACTCCTCCCATTGCACAGAACACCACACCCCTACAGAAAGCCACTTCACAGCATACTCCTGCCGTTGTATATAACATCACATCTCAGCAGAAACAGAAAACCACTTTACAGCAGAAAGTCACTTCACAGCATACTCTTTCCATTGAACAGCACAGCACATCCCAGCAGAAAGCCACTTCACAGCATACTCCTTCCATTGAACAGCACAGCACATCCCAGCAGAGAGCCACTTCACAGCATACTTCTGCCATTGTACAGCACAACACTTTCCAGCAGAAAGCCACTTCACAGCATACTTCTGCCATTGTACAGCACAGCACTTTCCAGCAGAAAGCCACTTCACAGCATACTCCTGCCAATGCACAGCACAGCATGTTCCAGCAGAGAGCCACTTCACAGCATACTTCTGCCATTGCACAGAACACCATGTCCCAGCAGAAAGCCACTTCACAGCATACTCCTGCCATTGCACAGAACACCACATCCCAGCAGAAAGCTACTTCACAGCATACTCCTGCCAATGCACAGCACAGCACGTTCCAGCAGAAAGCCACTTCACAGCATACTTCTGCCATTGCACAGAACACCACGTCCCAGCAGAAAGCCACTTCACAGAATACTCCTGCCACTGCACAGCACAGCACTTTCCAGCAGAAAGCCACTTTACAGCATACTCCTGCCATTGCACAGCACAGCACTTTCCAGCAGAAAGCCACTTCACAGAATACTCCTGCCATTGCACAGCACAGCACGTCCCAGCAGAAAGCCACTTTACAGCATACTGCTGCCATTGCACAGAACACCACATCTCAGCAGAAAGTTACTTCACAGAATACTCCTGCCATTGCACAGCACAGCATGTCCCAGCAAAAAGTAACTTCACAGAATACTCGTCCCATTGCACAGAACACCACACCCCTACAGAAAGCCACTTCACAGCATACTCCTGCCGTTGTACATAACATCACATCTCAGCAGAAACAGAAAACCACTTTACAGCAGAAAGTCACTTCACAGCATACTCTTTCCATTGAACAGCACAGCACATCCCAGCAGAAAGCCACTTCACAGCATACTTCTGCCATTGCACAGAACACCACGTCCCAGCAGAAAGCCACTTCACAGCATACTCCTGCCATTGCACAGAACACCACATCCCAGCAGAAAGCTACTTCACAGCATACTCCTGCCACTGCACAGCACAGCACGTTCCAGCAGAAAGCCACTTCACAGCATACTTCTGACATTGCACAGAACACAGCAGCCATTTCTAGAAGTAGTGATCCGTGTATTGAGGATAGGTCTGACATTGACTTAAAGCCACCTTATTCTTTATCTCAGTTAATATATCAGGCCATTATGTCTACAGACGACCACCAAATAACACTAAATGGCATATGTGAATATATAAGGAATACTTACGCATACTACAGAATGACAGATGTAAACTGGAAGGTATTTATGATACAAATATATCTGAGATATTGAGGGAAATACATGCATGACTTTTGATATTCATCTTCAGCATTTTTATCAAAACCAAGTCCAAATAAATTTTAAAGGGTTAAAGCTAAGATTTATTCTTTAATACTTAAAATTTTTTTAATGTAGGTTAATAAATTGCTTTCATTCAAACAACAATATTGAACCTGATTTTTGAAATGTAATTTTTTGTATTTTTTCTTTGTCATGGTGATCGACCTTTTAGAAATGTTTTAGGAGGAAGTAAATATTTTCATGCATATATGATGCAGAGATTTTTACTAAAATATTTAGACAAAAATCTTAATTAAATTTGGGAGGATGCTTTGTACCACTCAGGAATTGAGACTAATGCTTGTCTGATTGCCCAGGACAATTTTCAGTTTGGGCAAGTAATACAATAAATGTACTTGTCCAATTGGGCTAGTGGATATTTCTTATAGAAACATTTTTGAAGCTTACATAAGTTTACAAACAACACAATAAATTTAACACTTGATTTCCACCAAAAACAGGACATTGTTTTTACATTCAGAATCCCTCGGTAGGAATCTGGGATGTTGATAAATAAAATGTTCTTCATTTAAAGTCAGCACATTTCAAGTTTCAGTTTGGTAAACCAACTTGCACATGACTTCATGTGATGTCAAAGTCTAGATGTACCGAGTGTCACATGTGGTTTGATCAGAGTCCGATCTAAATTAAAAATTGAATAAGTATCTGCTCTAACACTAACGGTCACACACATATATTAGAATACACTTATAGATTCTTTATTCACTCACAGAATATGAAGAACACCATTTATTCTTGTTGCATGATGTATTGATTCATCTGTTTTCCTTTAGCACTACCTCAATTTTTTAGGGGAAAATTAAAATTTCAAAGTAAATCGTAAGGAAATAATATTCCTGAATTGGCTAGCTGTATGTGTTTTCAGGATAGTAAATGACAGGAAATTTACAAATGTAGCATCACTGTCACATCAACATTTTTCTGGCAGATAATTTTAAAATATAAATTAATACATCACTCTGGAATATTTACAAACAATAAATTAAGATACAGTAACTGCAATGATTTTCTTTTTGAAATAATTTTGGGGCAATGAAGTTTTGCACTCAGGCAAATCAAAATTGTAGTTCACTCGCCCGAAAGACAAGTGATAATAAAAGTTAATGTCTATCCCTGCTACTTTAGCTTTTCATTAATTTTATGAACTGATTTTTGCTTTTCTGTAGCCAAAGTGTTTAGGTGAGCGATGTGGCCATGGGCCCCTTGTTGGTTCTCATTATTTACTTGTAGAATACATTACGTCATGTATTGTATGCTCGAAGCTGCTTTGTGAAGGTTCCAAAGGTTAAGGATTCATTTCAGAAAGTTTTATTTTGGAGGCTCAATGAAAAGCTATCAAATGATCAGTTGAGAAGACTGCAAGATACTTTTGTGCGGCGTAAAAGGTATATAATTATTACCGGGTAATTAGTTTTTGAGTCACAACCCAAAAGTAGCGCACTTGGCCTCATTTTATATTTTTTAATGTTTCAGACAGTTATGTACCCAAGTGTTTTACTTTCAATGACGAGCGAAAGAAAATATGTTATATAAATATTTTATGGATTTCCAGGTCACGTTCTACCTCTCCCAATCACACAGATAGGAGTTACACACTTGTTGTTAAAAAGCTATACAGGAGAGAGAATCCATTTTCAAGTGAATTAGAGCATGCTTACAGTCAACCTGGTGCCCATACAACAGCAGGTACTGTGGTGTTCTACACATTCTAGAGCTAAAGAAATTTGTATGTAGAGAGAAATCAAGTAAATTGTCATACAGTCAAACCTGTATTGAAGGGACCCTCAAAGAGAGAAAACAAAAAGTTCACATATGACAGGTGGACTCTTAATACAGGATGCTTTAACTTTTCACAGTATTCAAATATTGGACATTTTATTTGTTATTTCGAAGAACATGTATCACTACTGAAAAATGTAAAATGTAGCATTGTTACTCATTAGATCAAGGGCTCATGAATGAAAATATATTGCATAAGAACTGGTTATCTAGAGTCTGAATTAATAATGGTTTTTACCTTATCAGGGTCCTACTAATCTAGAATTGATCTTTACTTTCGAGGTTTGCCCTAATATAAAAAGGATGATTAAATCATGTTGATTTGTACCTTTTAAAAGGAAAACACTGTGACATCACATGAAAAAGTACAGATGCAATGAATGAATAAACTTATATATTAACTTATATGCAATATTTCTAACATATTGTAATGGTCAAACTTTCAACACACTGACAGATTTTCACTGAATTTCCTGTTGCTAATTGAAATGGATGAGATTTAAGTTGAGGATATAAAGGATAATGAACACTGATCAGTTTCAATCCAGTACAAAATATGATTCATAAAGAGAGCAAAAAGAGTCCCCTTGAAATATCAGAGATGAGATCAGGTGCCTGGGCGGAGTAAACACCTGGTCTGGTCATACCTATCATGAGCCCTTTGTATGGTAAGATATATGTAGTCTATGCCATAGAAACACCGCACTGATCCTGATTTTAAGTCAAAACAATGTTATGCAGATTTAATATTTATTTCCGGGTCCAAAGCAGAAAAAAATGTACTGTAGTCAAAATGTTGAACTTTTAATCACATAATTAAAATTAATTAATTGTCTTGACTCTGTTTACTACGCAAGTGCCTTGATTAAATGCAATGACTATGTGATTGGCATGGGTGACATTGAACAAGCATGTTTTATTAAATAATTACATCGCCTGTCTACTAGATGGCAAAATTAATCGTTCTACCTTTTCTTTTTCCACAAATATTGTGAATATTAACTCCGCGAGTTAATTTCCTGCTGTACAGTAGTTCAAAAACCTTGTAACATCTACTTATTTCTGACTGAATATTTAGTAACTCACTGACCTGCTGTTAGTGAAACATTGGAGTTTTTATGTATTTAAGGGTGACTTTGAAAATTGGCTTGAACTGAATGGATATAATGAATTATTTATAATGAACCAAGACTTTTCATCCCTGGCACTTCACTATAAGCAGGTTGGACTGTATTCAGTTTGGAGCTATAACTGGGAGACTTTCATTGACTTGTAGAAGGAAAAACAAATTGAGATTGGGATGTCTCAGTATTGCAATAAATATCATTAACAAAAACATTTACCTCTAACACTGTGTGATTTACAATATAGTTTCTCCAGTTAATATAGTTAAATAATGAATGGTTTAATTTTGCAGGAAAATTGGAAGGAACTGCAGGAGAACTCAATATTACTTCTGGAGAAAGAGTGAACATGGACACCGCAGAACAACATGACCCTCAGATTAGGGATGGGCCACTGCGTGTGATCAAAGTTATATACCCGGTACATAGAAATACTGTATGTGTACAAAAGTCAATTAACGTATTCAAAATTTAAAGTAAGGTGATGTACTGTGAACAAAGAACTCTTTTCTAAACTTGTGAAATTTCTGACCATGGTTAAGCTCTAGCTAGGACTAAGTCTGTAATGTTAAATATAACGTGTATATTATTCTTGGAATTTTTCTTTACTTTAGGACCAGTGGTACCTGGTGCTTTAGTCCTCAGAGTCTGTAATATGTATATTCTATGATGTATTCGTGTGATAGATTAACAGATTACAGTAAAACTCGTTTAGTACGAACACGGATATAGCGAATTCACGGATATAGCGAAGTCATTTTGGATCCCCAGCTATATAAATTTAATGAATTTCTTATACGGTTATAACGAATTACGGATATAGCGAAGTGAATTTATAGGTCCCAGCGACTTCGTTATAACCGAGTTTTACTGTATAAAGCATTATGATTTTTTTTTGATAGGTTCCCAAAGAAGTACCTGTAACTGCCTTTCCTGTAACAATAAGAAGTCTGGATAAAGAATCCATGGAAGATAATGACCTAGCGGTTTCAGGGGGATTAATTAATGTCAATGAGATCAAAGTAGACATGACAGAAGTGACACAGCCAGAGGAATGTAAAGTAGAATTTACTGGCTCAAGTCATTAAATGTTGACCCTTGTTGGTTTTTCTAAGGCATGAAATGAACCAAAGTCATCTTTCAAGGGTAAGAAATCCAATGAGACTTTCTTTACATTGCAAATGATGTTCAGATGTTAGGACGGAATTTAAAAATAATCCTTTTTCCTTTTCTGAGTTGTCTTAATTATGTGCAATATGACCACATCCATATTCATGACTTATTACCAGGTGGACTTTGGTTGAGGACCGAGAGTTCTTTAGATGTGCCATACATACAATACATTGATTGTATACTGTTATTTATGAAGACTTTAACCTTGTTATTGTTTTAATCATTTAATCAAAGAGCTGCCTTTGATTCAGCCTACCTTATCATGTTCCCCAAACGAAGTTGGGGAACATATTGTTTTTACTCTGTTTCTTATTATTAAGGTTATCTTCACGGAAGACCTTATAGTGATTCTACTGTTTCTTATTATTAAGGTCTTCCGTCTTCAAAGACCTTATAGTGATTGTATTGTTTCTTATTATTATTAAGGTCTTCCGTCTTCACGGAAGACCTTATAGTGATTCTACTGTTTCTTATTATTCTTATTATTATTATTATTATTATTTTTTTGACAAAATTTTGTGCAGAAGATTTCTCGAGAACTACTCAGCGGTTTTCAATGAAACTTTCACAAAATATGCGTCATTATATGAAGTTGTTACATCCGGAGAGAAATTTGGAAAATTCGCTTCCGGTGCCAAGTTATGGACAATTTCCTGATTTTAAAATGCGATTTTGTCGCGCACTTTTATCGAAAATCGCTGAGAATAGGAACTGGAGACTTATTGGAGATGATAGATCATGACTTTGTGGTTTGCAGAATCGCCTTTTCGTGCGTCGTCGGCACTTCCGGTTTCTGCCGGAAGCATATTTAAAAAATGCAATTTTTCAATTTTTTTGTTTTTCAATATTTTTCTTTGGTGATTTTAATCTAAATAGAGACTCATTTGCAAATGCGTAATATGTAATTCGTTTTAGAATCGAAAAAGGCAATCTCAAGATATTCGCATTTAAAAATTTGAAGCGGCGTTTTCAATGGCCGAATGGTTAGCGCGTTGGATTGTCACGCGGGCGACATATAATGTCCGATATATTTTTTATCACTTTTTCTGCTTGATTTTTCGTTTTTTATTTCAGATTCTGACGGAAGACCTCTCGTTGCTCGCAACGAGATCGTTCTAGTTATTATTATTATTCTTTTTTTGACAAAATTTTGTGCACGCGATTTCTCGAAAACTATTCAGCGGTTTTCAACGAAACTTTCACAAAAAATGCGTCATTACATGAAGTTGTGCAGTCTATAATTTTTTTGGGAAAATTCGCTTCCGGTGCCAAGTTATGGACAATTTTCTGATTTTAAAATGCGATTTTGTCGCGCACTTTTATCGAAAATGGCTAAAGATATGAACTGGAGACTTATTCGAGACGATAGCTCGCAACTTTCTGGTTTGCAGAATCTCCTTTTTGTGCGTCGTCAGTACTTCCGGTCGTTGCGAGATGCGAAGTAGAAAAATCGTATTTTTCTAACTTTTCTGTTTTTCAGTATTTTTCATTTATTTTTGGTATGTTAATAGAAACCCCTCTTATAATGCTTACTATATAATTTGTTTGAACATTGATTAATCTAAACTCTAGATATTAGCAATTGAAAATCTGAAGCGGGTTCAAAATGGCGGCGGTCTCTGTCAACTCCGACATTTCGCAATAGTGGTTTACGGAAGCAGCCGAGCGTTTGCTTTAACGACAGTAACATAAGAATAAATGAAATGTAAAGGAATACTTGGATTTTCACGTCGTAGTTTCGTTGCAGTTCTGTGTCAAACTAATGTCTTCTATAATTGGTTTTGGCTGGTTTTCAAAGTAGAAATAGAAAAGACTAAATGTGCAAATGAAATTTGATACCTAATATCTTTTGTGCATCACGGAAAAACAGATCTTAAATCATACTTATAAGTAATACTTTCTCAAAAAAGAATATCAATTAATATTGTCAGTATAAATCTTAACCACTGTTTTTCCTATGCACACTTGTGTCATATTAAACTAATAGATAAGACAAAAATAAGAAAACGATTTTCTAAAAGATCGCTTCATGGAGTTTATTTCAGCATTCTTGTCTCAAAGACCTGATTCAAGTTATTGAGCATAAATGATATTTGATTCCTTGACCATCGAAGGGCGAGCCATGTTTCTCGGCGAAACATTCAACCTTTTTCGATTAACTAATCAGGATAGTTCACTTTGGGGATAAACAGGAAATTGAAAAAAGTTAAAAATTCATAACCGTTTCACCGCTTTAGTGTTACATGCATATATACAATATGGAATTTGTAAAATGTGTTAAATATACTTTCTAAACCTCGAGTCTTAGGCTATAAGAACGTTCATTTTTTAATTTCATTGAAGCTATTTTAAGAGAGAAGCACTGTTTCGTAAATATATACAAGTAGATTTAGAGTAGAGGTCCCGATAGCGTAATATTTAGTGCGTTGGAATTTCATGCTGGCGACTTGGGTTCAATCCCCCTTGTGTGCAAAACTTTTTTTTTTACTTTTTCAGCTCGATTTTACGTTTTCTTTCCGGAATCGGACGGAAGACCTCTCGTTGCTCGCAACGAGTTTCTCATCTAGTTCTTATTATTATTATTCTTTTTTTTGACAAAATTTTGTGCAGGCGATTTCTCGAAAACTATTCAACAGTTTTTCATGAAACTTTCACAAAATATGTGTCATTATATGAAGTTGTTACATCCGTAGAGAAATTTGGAAAATTCGCTTCTGGTGCCAAGTTATGGACAATTTTCTGATTTTAAAATGCGATTTTGTCGCCCCTTTTTGTCGAAAATGGCTAAGTATATGATATGGAGACTCATTGAAGACGATAGTTTGTCACTTTGTGGTTTGCGGAATCACTTTCTCGTGCGTCGTCAGTACTTCCGGTTTTTACGAGATGCAAATTAAAAAAAATCGTATTTTCTAACTTTTTTGTTTTTCAGTATTTTTCATTTATATTTGGTATGTTAATAGAAACCCTCCTTAGAATGCTTACTGTATAGCTTGTTTGAATGTTGATCAATCTAAACTCTAGATATTAGCATTCAAAAATCTGAAGCGGGTCCAAAATGGCGGCTGTCTCTGTCAACTCCGCCATTTCGCGAGCAGGGGTTTATGGAGGCAGCTGAGCGTTTGATTAAACAATTCTGACATAAGGATACATGAAATGTAAAAAACTACTTCGACTCTCACGTAGTATTAAATGGTTGGAGGAGTTACCTCCCGTTATTTGTTTATATTATAATAGATAATCAATGTAAATATTGTAATTGATTGGTCAATTGACTAAAGAATTAAACAAGTATTATTGATAAATGATGTTCTGTTAGAAAATAATAATGGTGTTGCCAAAAGAGAGACAGTCTGTTTTATTTTATCAATATGATATCTGATAACTTATTATCATTGATTAAGTTGAGGTACACGGGGGCAGTACAGCCAACTGGCTAGTGTCTTCACTTTGGTACAGAAACCAATTGGTTTATCGATCAAAGAGGATTGTGTAAAGTTGCCGAAGTCAGTGACTAGTTAAAAGGTAGCTGTGTAGCATTAGCTATAGGATTGTCATTAGGACAGAGAAGCTCTTACAAAGTTAAATCATACTGTGGAAGTATATTGTAGCCACTTGGCTAAAGTTATATAGGCAACTTGGTAAGCAGTTATACACCAGGCAGATGTTAAAGGCTAAATCAAGAGGCACCAGGCAGATAGATGTTGACTTATATAGAGGCAATTATCATATGGCACCAGGCAGGTGCCGGTATTAACTGAAGATATATAATTATACAAAGCACTTAGGTCATTTGATTTAAAGACACCAGGCAGGTGTCATATTATTATCTGTATATATTGCATTCAATCATATCCCCAGTAAAACTCGGTAATCAGAGCACGGACCTACTGACCGCTCAGATCCGACACGTTACAGTAGTACGTTGCAATTGAGTGTCAATATTAAAACTTAATTCACTGCTTCAGTGTAACTGGGCTAGATACGATATGTAATGTGTATAATGTGTTACATACACTTTCTTAACGTCAAAATGAAATAAAGGCGCTAAGAATGTTTTATTTTAAAAATTTAATTGATGCTATCATACCTATCTAATAGATCAGTCCAAAGAAAAGGCGCGAATATTTACTCGTGGCGTTTAGCGCGAAATTATGAATGCTTTGTATAATTCTTAGACAGGTGAACTGTTGCAAAAGTAGCGTGGTATACACAAGTATATTTAGAGCAGTAGTCCCAATAGCTTAATGGTTAGCGCGTTGGGGATATAAAAGTAAAAAAAAAGCGCATTCACGTTGGCGACATGGTTTCAATCCTCCTTGTGACCAAAATTTTGAATCTCTTTTCAGCTCGATTTTACGTGGGTTTCTTTTCCTAAAACGGACGGAAGACCTCTCGTTGCTCGCAACGAGATCGTATCTAGTTATTATTCTTATTCTTATTTTTCTTCCTGGGAAAATTTTGTCCGCGAGTGATCTTGTAAACTACACATCCGACTTAGGTGAAACCTTTTTAGGGTAAGTAGGCATGTTATGTAGATTTGCGGAATCAAGCTCATTTTGCGCGCACGTGCTTGCAAGAGCGCGCACGTGCAAAACTTAAAATGACCAATATAAAATGGATATAACCGTAACTTTTCTATTTTGTGACGAAATGTTTTGAAACTTATAATGTAAGGATATATTAGTAGTAAGCACAAGATGACATGGTCAAAATAGCAAGATCGCACGCGCATGCACTTGCGCTTTGCTCTGATTGGCTGAAACTAAAGTCTCAATATCTTTTTTGTTTTTTGATAAAATCATTTGAAATTTTGAACATAGTCATATATTAGGGAGATCTACAGCCTGTATTATAAGATTTATCATGAAAGCATGTGCATGCACATGTGCTTGCAAGAGCTCGCACGTGCAACACGAGAAATGTCCAGTATAATTGATACAGACGTAACTATTTCAATTATTGATGAAATGCTTTGAAACTCATATTGTAAGTATATATTAGAAGCATAGACAAAATGACATGGTCAAAAAAGTAAGATCTCACGCGCATGCACGTGCGCTTCGCTCTGATTGGCTGAAACTAAAGTCTCAATATCTTTCTTGTTTCTTGTCATAATCCTTTGAAATTTTGAACATAGACCTACATTATGACGATCTACAGCATGATGTATAAGAATTTTCATGAAAGCATGCGCATGCCCGTGTGCTGCAATCTGATTGGCTGAAACTTTAAATGGCTATATCTCCT